AGATTAAAAAGAATATCTGAGATAAAAATCACATTGGATATGATAAAGAGATGATTAGAAATTATGCAGAAAAGACTAGTGAGCTTGAAGACAACAAAAAGTAAAATGCAGCACAAAGAGGACAAAAAAGGATTTTTTAAAAAAAATTTTTAAGTGATCAGTAGAGAAACCAAATTCCCTCACATACAGCTAACCGCAGTTCAAAGAATGGGAAAGAGAAGCACAGAAAAACTGCTTGAGGAAATAACTGCAAACAGCTTCCTAAGCATAATGAAAACTAGAAACTCAAAGAACCAAGACACTCAACAAACTCTAAGCATAAGAAACATGAACTACAACAAAGCATAACATAATAAATTTGTTCAAAAATCAACGGTACAATATTAAAAGGGACTTGATTAAAAGACATAATGCATATAAAGAAACAAAGACAAACATCAGATTCCCCCTGAGATACACCACAAGTAGGAAGACCAGCATCACTGTAACGCATGGGGTGGGCGGGGAGAGAAGGACTATAATTTGGCACCAGGCAAAAATCTTTCAAATATGAAGACAAAATAAAATACTTCAGAAATACAAATGCTGAAACAATTCATCACCAGTAGACCTACACTGCAAGAAATGTTAAAGGATCTTTCACATCAGTGGAACATGATACCAGATAAAAAAAACCTGGAGCTACACAAAGGAATAAAGAACACAGAAGGATGAATTCTTTTAATCAATACCAACAGCACCAAAATCCAAGAGGAAAAAAAAATATGTTTGTTTTTATTACAGATGAAACTATACAATAGTACTTGAAAGTAGACTAAGGATACTGATATTATACACACTAAAACAACCATGAAACTATCAATGAGTTACAGATATTAACCTAACAAAGAATATAAAATGAAACGATAGCACTCAATGTAAAAAAATATAAGGAATGGAAATGAGATGGAAAAAACAAAATGGAAAGAACTTAATCACACTACATGTACATGGCTAAATGCCCTAATAAAGACAGAACTGTCAGCCTAGATTTAAAGCAAGGCTATTACCTGCAAGAAATGCATCTTAAATATAAAGATGCAAATGGGTTAAAGTGTAAGAATGAAACAACATTTAAGTTTATGCTTGTCAAAAGAAATATCTAGGCCACATGGTAGCACATGCCTATAATCGCATCATTCCAGAGAGTGAGGTACTATTGCTGTAAGCTCAAGGCCAGCCTGGGCTACATAGTTTAAAAAAAAATAGATACATTAATATTAAAAGCTATCTCAGAGTTAAATATAGGAGTTTTCTGCTATTTATACAATCAGAAGTACCCATATCTTTCCTCTGCTCAAAGTTTCAAAGTACCTTTGTATAACCACTACAGCACTTATTATATCCTCCCTATAATGGAGAATAATTCAACACTGTACTGCACAATACCTACTTTTAGGCCTCTAAAGAGAAATATGTTGAAATTGAGCCACCTTTCAGTTATTGTACTGTGCAAAAAAGGGAAAACATACAAGGTGCAGGACTACTATTTTTCGAAAGGTCTGTGAGCCTGGCAGCCGCAGGCTGGCTTCTGGGAACGTGGACTCTGAGAAGGCTCCCTAACTGATAAACATGGTTCACTGTGCCTGGCGCAAGAAATGATGCAGCTTGCCCTGTGAGTCCTTCCCTGAGTCTGAAAATGTCACACATGCTAGACAAGGGTGATTAGGAGACCAGCCCTCAATAACAACCTTCGGCTTCCGGGGGCATCACATGCACGCTGCTTTATTTTCACTGCTAGGGAAAGAAAGTACTGTGTGCCCCCCTCATAGGAAGCAGAGTGCATTAGGCTACCTTTCTGTGGATTCTTTGGGACCACGCTGGTGTCTCTTTCCACTGAGAACCATCCATGCATATCCATGCAACATCACAGCAGTAAATCTTAGCCATTACAGCTCTATGCTGAGTCCATGTGTCCTAGAAAATCTCTAAATGTGGAGGCAGTCCAGTGGACCCCTGACACAAAAAAAGTCCAAATCTGTTAAGGTTTACCTTTCCTCTAACAAACTGTGAGGGGAGAAGAGGAACACAGACTCCCTTCAAAGCACTAGATCCTAATTTGATTCAAATATCACTAAGTTGATTTAGTCTTTCCTTATGTGTAGTTACAACCAGCCAGGCTGCAATCTCAGCACTCAGAAGGCTGAGACAGGAGGATCACCAAGAGTTCCAGGCCAGCCTAGGTTCCACAGTGAGTTCAATGGCAGCTTGCACTACATAGCAAGACACTGTCTCAAAAAAGGGAAGGAGAGAGCAGGGAACAAGCAAGTGGGCAGAAAAAGATGGGTAATCCTTATCTGTAGTTACTTTCTTCAACACGAGAACCCTAACTGGTTATCTGCAATAGGTTTACCTATTTGTCCACTTATAGCACATACATAGTTCTAAAAATGTTAACTCATACTCCAAAGAGAAGCAAATGCACAAATCCGATTACAGCACATTACATAGTTCTTCCTTTTTTAGGCTTTATACTATCCCATCAAAGTATAATTTCTATCATTACTCAGGTTGCTTCTTTTATTTCCAGTCCCTTTCAGTGTCAACTTTGCTATCCCTTTTTGGATCCCCAACATCCTGGCTCATACTGCTTATTGCAGAGTATGTAAAACATTCCTGTTGTACCAAGAGTCACAGCTAGACCACACACACACACCCAACAACAACACCCTAAGAAGTGTTCCTCACATAAATGGGTAAATCCATATAGAGTTTTATTTTTTGAGATAGGATCTCACTATATATCCCACGCATGCCTTAAATATACTACGTTGCCCAGGCTGGCCTTGAACTCACACCAATCTTCCTGCCCCGGCCTCCCAAGTGCTGAGATTACAGGCATGTGCCACTACACCCAGCTTGTGGTTTGTTTTATATCACCAAGCTTCCCTCCAGAATACTGGTACCAATTTGCATCTGTACCAGCAAAGTACAAAGGTACCTGCTTCCCCAAAGTCTGATTAACTAATGTCTTGCTGTCTATCTGAAACTTTCTCAGTGAGACAAATCTTCCTTTCTTAAGGGCAAAATTCTAGCTTAATGGCCCATCCTATGCCTGTTCAGCAATGGAGAAAACAAAATAGACAAAAATCAGCAAAAGCAGCAATAAAATACCGACCCTACTCTAAGTGTGGAGTGACTGAATCTGGTGGGGAGACAAAGGTTTCTAATCTTCTAATCTCCTCACCAACTCTGGCCCAAGTACCCAGTAGCACTTAACCAGCTTGGGTCTGTGCTGCCCCCAGCGCCTAGCAGAGTCATAAGGAGCGTAAGTCTTCCTGGCCTCTATGATTCCTCCACCAAGAACAAGGAACAGCCCTAATCTCCAAATAACACTTAAACATCAATCAGTAAGTATTCAAAAAACAAATATGGTACCTTTGTCCAAAACGAATAGGATGAAGCAAGCTTCTTTTAACTAACCTCTGAGCAAAAATAGGAAATCTATTTATAAAACCTTGTATGTGTGTACAAATTTCTCTATTTGATAAATATCACATGAATTTTCTTGATTCCTCGATTTGTAGTCCAATGCCACAAAGATAGTTTTAGCCTTTGTTAACTGCCCTCCGTACAGTACCTTCCTGTCACAAACAACCTAAAAATTCTTCCCTTCTTTTCCCTAAAAATACTTGTAAGGTAAGAGACAGTTCTCGCTGACCCTCACACTCCTCATCTAACCATCTAAGTACAGTAATACTTTGGCTCAGGGACACTTCTGCTGCAAACAATTCGGTTCACAAACAGAAGCAACAGGCAAAATTATGCTCCCATCTGCCAACTCTGCACTGGGTGATGAACACCAACGGTACCATCTTCCCCAGAAAAATGGAACGAATTAAATGCATGAACCAAGGTACCACTCACTGTATGTTCAAGCTGCGTAGTATACTATTAGGCATTATAGTATTCAAAATTTGACGCCGTGCACTTCAGTGTAATGTCAAATTCTAAAACAAGCATTCTGGCCTGACTCTTTTTAAGGCAACAGTTACTCATTCTTGTGAAGTGAAGTCTTTAGGTTATGTGAGTAAGCTGATACTACAACAGAGTAGTGCTTCACTCCGCGAATACTGCTCTTATCTCAACTGTACTTCTGAAAGCTTTACCTCTGTTCTATTGATTAAAGCCTATACAGTTTCTACAGACAGTTTCTAGTTTTAATGTTTCTTAATAAGCAGGGCTGTCACATTTCTCCCAAATATACTTGTCAAAAACCAAAGAGAATTTGAAGAGATAACAAAGCCTTCTTACTGCACAGAGTTTGCTGCCTTTATAGATGAAAGTTAACTGCATTTCTTTTTATAATTACCTCAAAATCACAGAAAAACAATTGTAAAAAAGCTTTGAAAAGTGGCAAACTTTGTATATATTACTCTGGCATAATGGAAAAACATTAACTGAATTGCCAATTGGGCTAAAAAGAAATATTTGTATCAATGTTTAAAATAGTTTTTGTTTTTTGAGACAGAGTCTCAATATGTAGTTCAGGCTGGCCTCGAAGTCACAGCAATCCTCCTGCCTCACAGCCTGCCAAGGGCTGGGATTACAGGCCTGCACGACCATGTCCAATAATGTTTAAAATACTGAGCAGAGTTATTCCGTATTGTGGACAAAAATATGTATCAAATTTTATATATCAAATAATTTAAATCTTCATCAAACAGTTTTGTCTTAAAGAATAACCACATGAATGTACATGGGTAGTTAGTAATTCCCATTTCTAAAAAATGTTAATTTCTCATTTAAGTATAAGATATTTAAGGTTTAAGTTTATTAATCATAGTATATTACAGCTATTTATATATATATTACTCTTGAAAAAAACTAGTTTCCTGTTTTCAGGGTTTTTATACCACAGTAATCATTTAATAAATAATTCTTGCAAGTAAACTTTTATGTTAAATAAAGTAAAAATTATAAAATTGTGGTTTAAGTAAATATTGGTGCCTTCTACTTACTTCTGTGCTCCCTGAGACAACAGCTTTGTCCACGTGCACTGACAACGGTTCTTCTACCTGGCACACGCCCAGCGACCACTCCACACAACGGTGATGAGCCCAGCAAGTGCCTCAAAAGTGAAAAGGAGCAAATGAGTAAACATCAAAAATGTGAATGCAAGTAAATGAATACATAAAGTTTCAAAATAAATTCCTAACATGTGAGGACACAGTGCACGCTGCCTCTCGTGTACCATTAAGCAGCCTTTCTCAGGCTGCACTCCAGTCCGTGAACTGCAGCAATGACACCAATCACACCAATCTAGGAACCTGTCTGCACATGGCTAAGATTGGCTCGATCAAAAACACCTGTGGTAGGGCAATGAGCCGTAACCAGCCTTCCTGGTAATTCTGATGCACATGAAATTCTGGAAATTACTCAATTAGTGATCATTTCTTCAACAAGCACAAGTTAGTTTTCGGTCATTTTACTTAAATATTACTATCACTTTTATTTGACAAAGGGAATGTATGGAAGGAAAACGATGACAGATGTGATTCTGCTCCACCCACCACAGGCAAGAATAGGCACAATTCATCAACAACCATGCGGTCCTTAAATGCTCCATCACACAGCACTTGAGCCACTACCCACCAATGGGCACCTCAAACATACAATGAGATTTACTTAAAATTCCAACAGCATACGGGAGTGTGAGTTACTACACTGCTACTGTAAGGGAACCCATGTGGCTCAGAGCAATTGTCTCGCCATCATGAAAACAGGTCCAAACCCCTGTGTTTCAAAGTTTTCACCTATCCCTTTACAATTTTTCCCTTTCCTCATTTGTCAGGTATCCATGGCACTGCTACCTACACCTGAGTAAACACATTTGTAGAAGCACCCAGTCCAGTGTTGGCACTGTGCAGACTTTAAATCAGACAGATAAACATAGACAATTTCTTTCACCAAGTAGGCAGAGTTACTAATGACATGTTTGATAATGTAATCCTGATTATTTCTACATGAAAAGCATATATTACTGAGTAAGCTGGTGAAGAACTAAAATTTAAATGCTTGCAGACCAAGAGGCAATTGTTACTGAAGAAAGGCCCCTACCTGCAGAATCAAATAAGGCTTGGACATCAATGGCATCTGGAAGGCCAACCAGACTGAGCTCATCCCACAATTTACCAGCCTGATCATCTGCAACCGTCTGGGTGCTTACACTTACACAAGACACCATATTTTGCTGAAGAGATCGTTCTCTGAAAATAAAGTGGGATAAGATAAATGTCTGTGAAGGGATAACAAGTAGAAATCATTTCATTTTATAAAAACTTAAGAATGATGCACTGCCAAGTCAATTTTAATTTATTAAGCATAAACTGTGATTAAACACTTTTAAATTCACGTCTTACTATTATTGATAGTAATGTTAACATGTTGCCACATTACTCTTGTAAGCAACAACTAAGTGTCCATAAACTCAGAATAAAGTATTAAAACTATAGTTGCAAACTTATTTTTCCATTCTCTAACATAATTCTTTAATAATTGACACGTATTCTAGTCAGGAACCACGTTTTAACACATAAATTTAAAATTCCCTTTGGTCTTACTAAAATGCTTACAAAATGTAGCTTGATCAGAAAAATTTAATATGCTTCACCCAACACAGAACTGCCACAGCAGAGGTGGCCATTAATTTTACATAATGAAAGTTTATTTTCCTGAGAAAAAGAAAACCTGCTACACAGTGTACAAAAGGAGGCAGGGGAAATAGAACAGATCAACTGTACTTTCCTATGGTCCCCTTGACAAAATCTCAACAGCTGGCTGGTAGCATGATGTTGAAGAAGTTTCAATCAAGACCATACCTCACCAATCAAAAAAAAAAAAAAAAAAAAAAAAAAAAGCTAGTGAAGGTATGGGGACTAATGAGCTAGTATAACAGTTAAAACTAGAATGTAAAAAAAGAATGATAAATAAAGTATATAATATATACTGGGAGATTTCAGACTTTCAAACCCTAACACTTTAGGTATGTTTTAAGGTCATTCAGTAAACAAAGAGGACTACTATGGTCAAAATGAATTATGGGAAATCAGATGCCACCACTAAAACTTAAATTTTCTCCTAATACCATAGTATTTAACCTGATGATAATTCTGGATTAAATCACTATTGAATATAGATATAACTCACTGCACTTCTGTATGCTGGATATTTATCATGATTCCTATTAAGAGAAAATCAGCACAATGACCAGGGTACTAAACTTTTTTATACCTGGAATCATTGAAAGAAAAAAAGTATTAACATATTTCAATAAGTACATTTAAATATCAAACCATACAAAAACCAGTCACTTTTCTATGTTCAGCATTAGAAAAAGGTTCAGCATTAGAAAAAGGTTCAGCATGCTATGCTAACTTTAAATTCTCATTGTTGAAGATTCCCACAATAAAATGAGAACAAATTCTTTTCTACAAATAGAACGTCCAGTCTTACAAATATATTCTTCATACCTAATCAATGTTACTTTATTGGAAGAAATAAAGACTGACAGAGTTCATCCATAAATATTAATGTATTATTTTAGGAACTGGTATTTGGTGGGGGAAAGTAAAAACCAGTGCAATGACTAACTAGTCTATTACTATCAGTAATCAGTTCCTAACCAAAAACTTAAATCAGGTTTTTAGACTGGTTTGTATGTACATAACATATCAAATGCCAATATCAATCCTAAAGATGATAGCAGTCCAGCTTAGGAAAAGTCAACTGAAATATATACACACAAAAGTTCAAGTTATAAAAAAATAAAGAAAGAAAGAACCACCCTTGACTATACAGTCTTATATTTAGTAGAAATAAGAACGATAACCTTGTTGTAAAAAGATCCATTGTAAAAACATCCTTTGTTGAATTTTTTGAAAAACTAGTTGTTTATACTTCATTAGTAACATATTTTATAAATATTTAAAATTACTGAGCTGAACTGACTGTTCACCCCTACATGGTTGCCAAATTTTTCTAAGTGTACTTCATTAACAGACTTTTTATCATTACTTAATAAACTTGGTAAGCATTAAGTATATACAACTTTCATTAAGCCAAGACTATTTTTATACAATTTTCTAAGCTCATAAAATTTTTCACTAAAATTTAGCTTTACTTACAAAATAAGTATGTAAAGCCTAAACCTCTTTTCTAGAATAAAATTTTACCTAGCTGCCATTATTGAAGGTAGAATGTAAGGATATAACATAGTGTGTTCTGGTCTATAAAACTTGCTAAGTATTGCTGGACACTAAGTTTGCTGGACTGTGCATGTATATGAGCACCCAACTAATCACAGGTAAGGTTTATAAATATGCTTAGATACAGTCTTAAAAACATGATTCTTCAAATACAGTCCTGTAAGCCTCTTTAAACTGTTCTACCTTAAATTCTTTAAAAAGATTCCTGTTATTGTTTCATTTTCTATGTCAAATCTTCAAGGCATTGGCAGCAGTTCAAATCAAAGAGCCAAGGAAGTGCAGCACAACAATGCTTTAGTGCTCAAATCTGCAGATATGCCAGACAGGCTCTTGCGTGATTACATCATCACCCGCAAGGAGCAGCACCCGTCAGCCTCCCAAGCTAAATCAATTTTTATACTTGCTTGTCAACAACAGAAACCTCCCCCCCCCACTTAATCAACAGAGTGAAGGCCATACATTAAGATGGTCTTTAACCACAACTATACACAGTATTTTAAAAGGTTACTAGCCAAAAAGCCTTGTGTAACAATGTGCTCATGGATACAAACATACACAGTCATCCAAACATTTTATTTCCTTAAAAAAGTACCTTTCCTACCTTTAACAAAAGGTTCCTAAGCATATAATTACAGAAAGAAAAGGATAAAGAGAAAAGAGAACTGTGTTCTGATTTGAATTTACAGGACAGCTCAACATTCTCCAAAACAAGTCAGAATTTCAACAAAATGAATAAATGAATGACATGAAAGATGTGAATAGTGAAAAGAATTCTGGAGGGTTTTTTTTGGTCTGTTTGGGGTCGTTTGTTTGTTTGTTTGTTTGTTTGTTTGGGGCAGGGTCTTGCTATGTAGTTCAAGCTGGCCTTAAACTCACTATATAGTCAAACTGGCCTTGAACTCATGGTGATCTTCCTGCTTTAGCCTCCCTAGTGCTGGGATTACAGGTGTGAGCCACCACCCCTGGCTGTAACAATTCTCGTTTTATTATGTTATATTCATACAAACAAACAATTACTTAGTGGAAAGAAAGGACTTCAGTGGTGTTTGTCTTCTTTCTATTCATAAATCCCATGAACTCCCTCTCAGCTTACATTTTAAAAAATTTTCTCCCAAAAGGTAACTGTTGTGTAGTTTTGTTAATGCACAATTAAATTAACAATCTTTTAAAAATAAAAAATGAGGGCCGGGGATATAGCTCAATGGTGCAAGTGCAAGGTTGTGAGTTGATTCCCAGTACCAAGGGGGGGAAAAAAAGAAGAAATTTTGAGAAAAGGACTGTTTTAGGTTAAAGTAGTCATAAAATACTTCATGAATTTGGAAAACAGAAATTTCAACAGCAAGAACCCCATTTGTAAATTATAAACAATTAATTAGACACAGTTTCATTCCATCAATTTAAATTCAAAACTCCTTACTTTCTCTGTCCTCTTTGTCTTCGTGGAGCTGAGTTTTGTACTCTCTCATAGGTTCCACTGCTGTTGTCATCAATGTCCTTGTTAGCAGGCTGGCTTTGCCACGGCAAGATAAATCCAGGCGTTACTCTGAATTGTTTTAAGTCGCCCTGTCCTAAGGAACTTTTTTCCCCACAGTAACAAAAAGCGCAGAGCTGTTCACTGGCAAAAGCAAAAAGTGAGGAAGACAGAGAAGGTGAAAAGCAGCTTTAATCAGTGACTTTAAGTAATGCAACTGGACATCTATGCTTTACAATGATACCATTAGTGCAAAGCAAGGCTTTTTGAACATATTTTCTATAATTTATTCTGTTGCACCTTAGGAACAGTTAAGTTTAATAACAGTTATACATTAGCAACTCTTACTTTTCCACACCACGATATTTGTTTGTTTACGCATGCCTGCAGTGCTGGTGATTGAACTCGGGGCCATGTGCATGGTAGGCAAGTGCCCCAACACAGCCCAGCATGTCAGTGCACACCCGTTAACCCAGCACTCCAAAAGGCTGAGGCAGGAGGATCACAAGTTCTAGCCCATCATGGACAATTTAGCAACTTAGCAAGACCCTAGTTCAAAATGTTTTGTAAAATTTTTTCAGATTTTTTTAAAGAGTTACAGATAAAGCTTGCCCTGAGTTTAATCCCAGTACCACACACACACACAAAGTGCTCCATCACTGAGCTATATATACCAGTACTACACCCCTAGTCCAGCATGATTTTTTAAAAAGTAATAAGCATGCCAAATTTAGAAATTCTAGTTTGTACTTAGGAAAAATTATTTTTTTAAAAGATCTGCTATTGTCAATCAAAGTTGTTACTTAGGAAAAATTATTTTTTTAAAAGATCTGCTATTGTCAATCAAAGTTGTAATTCAAAACAATAAGCAAAATAAAACTAGGGATGGGGAAGAAGATGAAGTTTAATACTCATGCAGTTGTATGATGGATCTATAAAGTGTAGCAAAAAGCTATATTTAAATATCTGGTGTAACAGCGCTCTACACCCACACAGAGAGGTAAACTACAGACCTTAAAGATTTAACAAATGTACCGCACTAATGCACAGTGCTAAGCCGTAGGGGAGAATGGAAACTCTGTGCTATTTGCTCCATTTTTCTGTAAATGGTGTTCTAAAAATGAAAGTCTATTAATTTTTTAAAACACATTAAAATGTTAAAACACTAAAACTAATATACATTACAAAATACACATTTAGAGAAACAAAATGAAAAGGACTTCTCCTCTTAGATCTATTTTCTCTTTGCAACATATGTACTGCCACCACACCCAAATCTTTCTTCTCGGGTTTCCATCACCTCAGTAACATTCACCCCATCAAACTCCATATTTTTCATTAGAATATAAAGATAACCTATAGTCTTCTGCACTACTCTATCCAGTTCTACTTATTACTAAGAGTTTACTTTCTATTCAAGCATACTAAAACATTCCCAAAATGTACTTTATATTGGGACACAAAAGACTTCATACATTCAAAACGTCCATATCATACAGACAGTATTCTCTGAAAATAATGCCATAAATTATTAACAGAAATGTATTAATAAACAACTTAAGAGTTTTCTAAATATTTGGAAACTAGAAAACATATAGCTGAGAACCTTTCAATTAAAATGCAAAACACATTATTTGGAATGGGATAATAATGAAAACCTATGATGAATGTTATCATTATGTACATATTATTGGTATAGACGTCTATAATGTACCAATAAAATAAAAGACTTTAAAGAACGAACATACTGGGCAACCCATTCAGGACTCCTCCTGTCTCTCAGGAGCTATTCCTATTCCTCATTCCTATTCCCCATTCCTTTTCTCCAATAAATGTTTCTACTGTTAATAAGAAAAAACAAAAATACTGAACATAACACTTTGTGAGATGCAGCTAAAGTCTGTAAGTAAACAAGAACTAACAAATTTATATAAATTATCAACAAATGAAAAGATTAGATGATAATGAGGTAAGATTTCAACTGAACAGGTTAGAAAAACACTAATAACACTGATGTGAACATAAGAAATATCAAGGAAAATAATACAACAAATAAATCAAGACAATAAAGAAGATGAACAAAAAAGCCTAATTCTTTAGAAGTATCTCTGGGGTAAAGAACCAAACAATATACAAACAAAATACAAAATGATGAAAAGACACTATATATGCAACAAACTATAAAATCATAAATGGCCATCTCATTATTTTAATACAGTAGTAAAGAATAATTATGCAAGAGAAGGAAATAAAGGCAGCCTGATAAGAGAAGTTAAACTGTCACTATAAGCTGACAGTATGACTTTATACAGATACAGAAGACTCCAAAAGATATCAGCATAAAAGTTAGAACTGAAAAATGAATTCAGTAAATTTTCAAAATATGAATGTAAAAACTAGTAGCATTTTATATACTAATAACGAACTACCAAAAACTTTATAAAATAATCTCATTTATACTAACAATAAAACTAAGCATTTGTGGGTAATTTAATGTGAATGACCAAGGAAATAAAAGACCTGTGTACTGGGACTATAAAATATTTATGAATGAAATTGAAGTACAAAGAAAGAAGGGGCAAAAGCGCCTGCCTGGCAAGCACAAAGTCGTGAGTTTGGTTCCCGGTACCGGAGAAAAACTAAAAAAAAAAAAAAAAAAGAAAAATAACCCACATTCATAAATTACAACAACACTGTGACTATATCCATAACACTCAAAGTACAGATTCAAGGCAATTCTCACCAAAATTCCAATGTCATTTTTGACAGAAACACCAAAAAAAATTCTTAATTCACACTGAGTGGCAAAAGATGCCCAAATAGCCAAAACTATCTTTAGTAAAAAGAACAAAGCTGGAGGCGAAACAATCTGACATTAAAATATATCATAAAGTGATTATAATCAAAACAGTACGGTAAGGCCAAGTGCAATCATCCATGCCTGTAATCCCAGCTACTGGGGAGGATGAGGCAGAAGGACTTCAAGTTTTAGGGCAGCCTACGCAAGTGGATGAGATAGTATCTCAAAATAAAAATCTTTAAAAAGAAGGCTGGGGCTGTAGCTCACCGATAAAGTGCTCACCTATCATGTGTGAGGTCCTTGGTCTGGGACTAGAAACAAAATAAACAAAAGAAGGTACACACACAAGTACACAAAACCAGCATAGTATTGGCATAACTGTAGACACACCAACCACTGGAACAGGACAGAAAGCCCGGAAATGAACCCACACATTTACTATCAATTGACTTCTGTCAAAGATGGCAGGAACACACAAGGCAGTTTCTTTAATAAATACTGCCAGGAGAATGAGATGGCCACAAGCAATAGAATGAAACTAGATCCTGTCTCACACCAAATTAAAAAATCAATTCAAAATAGATTAAGGACTTAACTATCAGACCTGAAACTAGCCCGGTATGGTGGCACACATCTATAATCCAAGCTACTTGAGGAGCTCACATTTAAAGCTATTAAATGAAAGGAGGACTTCAAGGTCAAGAGAAAACTTAGCAAGACCCTGTCTCAAAAAAAAAATCAGGGGCAGAAGCGCCTGCCTGGCAAGCGCTGGGTCGTGAGTTCGGTTCCTAGTACCGGAGAAAAACCAAAAAAAAAAAAAAAAAAAAAAGGAGGGCCGAGGATATAACTCAGCAGCACAGTACCTACCTAGAAAGCACAAGGTCCCAAGTTCAATTTGTAGCACAATAAATTAATTAATTAATTAAAAAGGACATAGGGTGCAACTCAGTCATAGAGTTCAATCTCCAGTGCCCCCCCCAAAAAACAAAAACCCAAGCAAGACAGAAGTATTAAAAACAAAAAACATAACAAGACCAAAAACTGTAAAATCTACTACTCTTTTATTTTGAAAAACTTCAAATCTCCCAAAAAATATTGGGGGGAAAAGAACTACAGTATAACAGATATCTGTATGCCCTTTACCTAGACTGACCATGTGTGCTGCATTTCCTAGGCTGAATGAAACCCTGGTACACAGAACACTCAGAGACCAGTATGAAAAGGAGGTGGTTAGGGAGGCCTCTCTAGGGAGGACAGTCCTATGACAGAGAGCAAAGCAAGCCAGAGGCCCTCGGAGAGAAACAGGATCAGTGTGTGTCAGAGCAGGGAGGAGCTGAACACAAGGAGAACGTGGTGACAAAAAGGTAACAGAGATAGCCAGGCCACCTCATGGGCTGCAGAGATGCTAAGGACTTGAAGATTAAATGTAAGTATACTGTAGATAGTAAGAGGGGAAACATGATTGACATTTTAGGATAATTTTTGCACCTGTGCTAAGAACACACTGGACACAGAAAGATAAAGAAAATAGGCAGAAAGACCAGCTAAAAGGCCTCCTGTGGACAATGGCTACAACCATGATGGCAAGCCAGTTAAGACAGTAAGAAGTTGTATGAGTTATCTTCTGAAGTTGAGCGACAAGGTTTATTGGATTGGGAAAAGGGGTATGAGAGAAAGAAAGTAAGAATTACCTCCAAATTTTTGGCATAAGCAACTAATAATACTGGTGTTATTTGCTGAAATGGGGAAATCAGGGAAACAAACTTGAGGCAGAGGCAGAGGTGGAACCAAGTGTAGTTTTGGACCTGTCTGAGGGTGAGGTGCCTTGCACATTTCCAGAGGGAACTGCTAGGCAGCTAGATGGGTCTGCGTCTTAGCACAGAAGTCTTGATGTGGGTCTTCTGAGGACACACACAAGCTGGGTCAGTTGGCTGTCAGATTGAATGAGCTTTCCCAGGTAGAGAAGAAAAGCAAAAAACTCCAACATGATAATGGTGAAAAATATCCACAAAAATCCCCAAAAGACAAAACAAGAAGTGTGCCAAAAACAAATCACATACTTTCAGAAGATGAGATTATTCAACAGATTGATAATTTCACTGGTTTATTCATGTCTTTCAAGCAGGGCCTAAAAAATTCAAGACTTCAAAGTTGAACTAGAAATTAAAGGGTATAACATCCTGTGTTCCCTTTTTCGAAGAATGCAGAGTATACAGAAAAGAATAAAAATGAATTCTTATGCTAAATACTCTGTTGTTTCTTCAGCTGAAACGGCATACTGCTCATCTTCTGGACTTCTCTGAGGCTACAGTGACACCCTAGCAAGTTCCTTGCTCTACCGTCACCAAGGACACAGCACCCTCTACCCCAACTCCACACAGCTTATCGGCCTCAGATTTAAAGCTACTAAGTGATAAAGCTCCATCCATACTAACATCCAAAACCTTTCCTCCCTGACTCTTCTCTACAGCCACCTCACTGCCCCTTTTCTTGTCAGCAATCTCCAATCCAGGTCTATTCGTTTTCTAACCTGATTTTGGCTTCTATACCAACAGAGACCAGGGAGTTTGCAGATTCCTCAGGCGCCGGCTGCTGAAGAGCAGGGACTGGCAGCTTGCTGCTATCCACTTCTGCTTCGGCATCCTCTTCTGCAGAATGTTCTTTGATTTCTGCTTCACAATAAACAAGGAGATAGAAAGAATAATTTTTATGTTTATATTAATTAATGGTGAACTTATCTACAAAGCATACACATTAACAGAAAAAGAATCGACAAATGACAGTACTTCAGTAATACAGGAAAGGTTATCATTAAAGACACCATTTCAGTAATGCAGGCAAAGCTGATAATAACGGCACTGTATTTATTCTGTACTGGAAATGAAAAACTACTATAAAACATATATTCCCTTGCACCCAAAGAACACCTGACTCAAGTTTTATCCCAGTTATAACTGTTAAGAATCTTCTTTTCAGGATTACAGTAGTTGATTTACAGGAAAAAGAGTATTTCAATGTAACATTTTTAGTCTCTTCATATTTCATGAACTAAATTTACCATTAACTTTAAACCATTATACATTTTTATGCATTCCAATTACCAGGCACTAAGAGGTTAAATATGCCACAAAAAAATGCCTTGGCCACACTGCTGTTTCTAACTCTCCACAGAAGCCCAGCGCCAGAGCCCTCATGTACACCTCCTCGGGAGAGCCTAACTGCTGGGAGGGTTTTCAGACACCTCCACCCCAAGCAGCACCCTTCTCTTCAAACAAAAATGTAAATATTCTATGCCCTCTGTCCTCCAGCCTCCACCACCAAGGCCCCTGGTCAATTCCACATGCTTGGTTGAATGCTTCTCTAACCACAGTTTATTCAGAGTTTTGTACACCTCCCTGTTCCGCCTCAACAAATAAAGAATAAAATCCTACAAGGTCTTCCCTCTGCGTGTTTCCGTCCTTTTAGCACCAAACATCACAAAATGGCACACTGGAGTGACTGAACTCCATTACTTCCCCTCACACATCCCCTTCTAATATACCCCCGGCCTCCCGCTAAGTAATTGTTGTCATCAGCACCACACAATGCAACAGAACTGACAATCCAGGAGCCTCAACAAGGCCTCAAATACCTTCAGAATTCCTTTCACAGCAAACTCTTCTAACTTTAACAATCACGGAAATACAAGGGATCAGTACCGGAGTTGGAGTCATAGAGGCCTGATCTCAAGTACCAATTTGCCCATCCACTGGCTATTCAACAATACATAAAGTCATCTCTCTTTACTCAACTATACATTTAAAAACTATCACTATGTATCTGTTAAGATCAGTAATGAAGATTAAATAGTCTAAGATCTGCCTGTGCAGCTGATTCTTTCAGATGTCTGAATAAAAGTGCAGCCCCCTACATATCTATATACTCTTCTGCAACTGCCTTCCCTGGACTTTAGGGTCTTCGAGTCCACAACTTTGCACCAACTCGTCTCCTCCATTCCAGACAATATTTCCACTACTCACCAGACATATCTAACGGCTTGGCCACTACACTTCACACCAAACTTCACCTCTTACCTCTCACACTTCAATCTGATATCCCTATGTTTGCAAGTATCTTCTAAATTAAAAACAAATTTCGATGCATTCTGAAAAAATGAACCATTTTGATAACTGTGTGGTGGAAAAACTACAAGTAAGCTGGGCATAGTGGTGCACCCCTGTAATCCCAGCACTTGGCAGACTGAGGCAGGAGGATCACTGTGAGGTTGAGGTCAGCCTGGGCTACAAAGTGAGCTCAACGCCAGCCTGAATAGCATAGCAAGACCCTGTCTCAAAAAGACTAAATAAATAAATAAACAGAAATTATTTGCTCTTGGCTAAATTAGGTTCCCCCTTCATATGGGCTGGAACGGACCTAACAGCCACCTACTGCAATGCTGCCAAAGGGAGCGACATTCCAGGAGGGCAAAGAAGATGGAAGAAACTTAGGACCCTGAACAACCACATGCAAAGGAGACTCATCGGCATAGGTTTCTCACTGTGACCGGCAGGCCAAAACGGAACTTTATAGGTAGAACTTTTTCATTAGAGACATGCAATTGCTCCAAACTCCCTCAGACACAGGGCTTGAACCACCTTCCTCTCCTACCCTATCCCTCCCCACAAAGGAAATACCAAATTGCTTCCCACTAAGAGGAAAGAAGTATGAGGGCACTTCCATCCCACAAGGTCAAACCTAAGTCGTAATGACAGAGGCTGATACCTTCTCAGGTACATATGTTTTTGAAGTTAGGTTTCCTAAAATTCAGAATTGGGGGGATCAAGCAGCAGGGAATTTATTTACTTTTAAGGAGAGAGATCAAGACTAGTTCTGATCCACAAATAATCAGGTTGGCTTTCAGAGTTCAACCTGTCCTCTTGGCTCTACTATTGCTAGTGGCTCTGACCATGATCCTAACTTTGGATCTGCTAAAGAAACAATAGGCCAGGCATGGTGGCGCACACCTGTAACCCTAGCACTCCGGAGGCTGAGGCAGGAGGATCACTGCAAGTTCAAGACCAGCCAGGGCTACAAACTGAGTTCAAGGCCAGTCTGAACTGCATAGTGAGACCCTGTCTCAAAAAAACAAAACAAAGAACAAAGGAACAAGAGAAAGAAAGAAAGAACAGGGATTGATGTGTTTCAGTTGTATTTTTGGTTTGTATTCTGCTGTTTTGACTTTCTTTTATTCTTTAATGAGTAAGAATCTTGCAACTATTTCCAAGGGACCAGCAATTCTATCCATGAAACAGAAACAATAAAAGAGTTCAATAAACATATAAAGCTAGAGAAAATAAAAGAACCCATCTTTAACTGTCACTCTTGCACCTGATGGGAAATGAGACCTTACTCCCTGTCCGAGTTAAAGCAGGACAGTTCAAGTGGTGTTTCTGTCTCTCCTCCTGGCCAAAATCCTCCTGGAGTTTGGCAGCAACTGTGGCACAGACGGACGGTTCCGGTGGACAACAGTCAGCCCAAGATACAAGCCGAGAATCGTGTGAGGTGAATGCCTGTGAGCCCAGGGTAACAGGAACACCCCTGATGCCCCACTTGGCTACCTACAATTTATCACTAAAAAGGGGTAAATACCAGCTGATGTTCTGCCCAAAAGAAGAAACCAGCCATCCAGCCAACAGAACAGTGCAGGCCTGACTACTCTGCTGCTTTGCAGAGCTGTCACCTCACATGAGTTCGATTTGCTCACACTGCCAGCAACCCAAACATCTAGGAATTGGAGCACTTTCTATAACTATGGTTTTCATTATATTTCCGTTTGATATGAGCTCTCAACATCCCTTTACGCTGAATGTGTCCTAAAACAGAGGCACTGGCGAAGGTGGGATGGGGAAAAGACGAGAGGCGAAGGGTAAACACAATTTTTACCCACAGGTGCTACCTGTGGTTAATCTCTGTCACCAGTAGGTGGCACCTGTACAGCAGCAGCCATGCTATTAAAAAGCTTACTCACCTGTAAGTACATTCTTAAGAAAACCCGCAGATATTTTGTCTGCCTTCTTCATTAAACCTCACCTATATACCATGCATATCACTGGGGATGCAAAGACAAATTACATCTAACCTCTGCCCTTAAATAATACCATTATACGGCCTCCTAGTCCTTCTGTTTTTCCACCTCCCAAGAAAGTTGTTAATAGCAAAGGCTGTTTATTATGTTAAAATCAAAGGCTTCGGGGCTGGGGATTTAGCTCAGCGGCAAAAGCGCCTGCCTGGCATGCGTAAGGTCGTGAGTCCGGTTCCGGGTACCGGAGAAAAACAAAAAAAAAAAAAAACAAAGGCTTCAAGGTCCAGAATTTGCATTTTAGCTCAGCCATGGAGTAGCAACAATGGGACCTCATCACACTACTTGTTCCTTATTTAAAAGACAGAATATTCTGCCTGGTATAAAACTCTTTAGAAGTATGAAGAGCACTCAATCCAATGCCTTAAGTATGTGGCTGTCACTCTATCTACACCTGCACATGATCCTGTGTATGTGCGTGCCCAGTTCACCTACCAGGGGCGGGGGGGGGGGTATACTACAGAATGAACCAGGGCTCCCCACAATCAACACAGACTGCCACTGAGCTATACCCACCCCCCGCCCAATATCTAACTCTAGAGGTCAAACCGCAACTATTAAAGCATATTTTGAGATGGAAAGACAATGTGTATTTACCGCCTCCAGGCTCTGTGCTAGGGAGTTAATATATCATTACTTTAGAATGACATTTACCAAACAAAGTTTTGGGTAACTACTATTACACACTGTTTACAAAATGGATTAGGATCCCTGTCCTTAATGGATTGCTCTGAAAGATGGAAATGATAACAACAGGACACAGTAACTGACATTTCAGACCCAGGCACAGGGTATGAGGGAGGTTAAGGAAAGAGGTGGAGAGTATAATTCATATAGGATTCACGAAAGTATCAGAAGACCAGTCAAACCAAAAAAGATAAACAGAAATTGTCTAATAGTTTTCTCAGTTCTTCAACTTAAAAAAGAGCATATTATATACTATCCTCATTTAAAAGGTAAGGAAGCTAAAGTCCAAAAATTAAGGTCGAAACCAAAAAGCTAAGTGGAAAAGCTGAGATTCAAGATCAGAAAGAAGCCAGGCATGGTGGCACACGCCTGTAATCCCAGCACTCAGGAGGCTGAGGCAGGAGGATTGTTGCGAGTTTGCTGAACATTTCTTTTTACACTGTTTGAAAATTACAGGTTATCACTGATCGAAGACCAAATACTTACATGTTTCTCTTCTACCACCTCCTCACTCTAGAACCCAAACTTCCAAAGCAGTCACTAACTCAAACACTGACATCAGCTATGAAAGAAAAACACCTCAGGAGGGTTTTGGTACAGGCTAGAAGTGACCCACCATAATTTCATGAGAACTCAACCGGCCCAACTAATCCACTGGGCCCCACAAGAGCACCAGGAACTGCAATTCCACTGTGCGTCCAGAGGGTAGAGTGACAAAGCTATGTGCCAGACAGCACCATTATATAGCACAACTGCATATAAAATAATATGCTAAAACCTAGTGAAGAAAAGCATCAATTTTTTTTTTTCCTAGAAAACTGCAAAAAAGCCAGACTTGATGGTGCACACCTATAATCCCAGCAC